CATTTTGACAGGATGATTGTGTGATCATGATCCTCATCATAAAAAACTATAGTGACAGAGTGGACATAAAGAAGGGAAGATGAGGATAAAAGAACGAAAGGGAGGATGATAAATCTATTTCCCCCCCACAGGGAAACGGCCTGACAATGATTCACATTTCCTCTTAACAGAGAATAATGTGCCGTCCTGCAGCCATTAAAGGAAGCTTGTGTCCGGCCAGAGCCATGACATCATTTGGCACGCTGTTTTACCACCTTTTCTGATTCAAATGGGATCCGGGTCCAACTGGTCAGTTTCAATTGCACTCGTCCCGGCTGCTCCAAGATCAATACCAATCAAAGCAGTGATTGCTCTATTGTTCTGCTTAATACTACAGCTCCTTCACTGGCTCCGGGCCTTCATCACCATCAGCGGCCACATCTGCGCCATTCAATAGATCATTCGCCAGATAGCTATATGGCATTTATACAGAGGAAATTATAAAAATGCCAAGCTTCTCTGTGCTTTTTTTTTTTAACACATTAAAAAACAAAATTTATGTCATCTCTCTGTGTGGGAGCTGTGTTTTGATGGAGTTTGAAAAGTTACATCTACTCACACTTTTTTTCTTTTTTTGTGTGTGCGTTTGATCATTTATATCTCTGATAAAAGTCCAAGGGATGTATTCACACAAAATTCTTAAGGAAAAACAAGTTTGTTTTTTCTTAACTATAAAATCAGATGTTGTCTGAGATTATACCCAAATAATATGACAAACTCTATATTTCACTGATACATCTTAAAAACAATGTAAGAACAAGTAAGAAAATTATTCTAAATTAATGTTTTTTTTAAATGTTTTGTGAACCATTGGTGTTTAAAATAATCAGAATAATGCTGCATGGAACTTTATAGAACAAACTGACATTGATACAATGTTTATTTGCCTAATCAGTATATTATTGACCTCTACTGTATACTAGTCGTTGACTGTGCAAGATAGACATAGGTTTCAATAACACATCTTTGATTAAAAAAATGACTGTGCAATCTACAGAAATAATGCAATGTAAATATTCACTAGATAATATGCAAATATATATAATACACTCCAACAGACTGATATTCTGAGGCATAATATAAATGAAGTGATAACAAAACATATGCTTCTGACATGAATTATAAAACACAAGCAGGTCCTATAAACAGCACACAAATAGGCAAACACCAGCGTGAACCATTGTCTTACACATGGACGCACAAAACCAACATGCAAATCCATGCAACACTGACTACCAAAGGCATTCAGAGACATAAACAAGACAGAGGATATGAGAATGCTCAAATACACATGGACTCAATCATGCAAATGAGTGTATGAATACAAATGGATAAAGAGTTGAGTTATGCATACAAAATGCACTTTAGAGTTTTGGCAAACAAATTGGTCCTGTTTTCCGCCCTACCCAAGTGCTCTCTCTCTCTCTTTCTCTCCACCATCACAGTTTTAAAAAATGCATATTATCATCACTATGCTCTTCAATTGCTCCTTGTTTGAATTATGTACTGAATGTCTCAGTCTTTAGACAACTCATAATAACTTCATTTTTGTGTTAATAACAACACGGTACATGAAAGCCATTTACACAGTGTGAGTACCGTATCCAAAAATGCACTGAAAGTGAGAGATAGGATTGGTAAACAACCTCCTTTTAATCTAGGTGCGATTTTGTCACAGGTTTCCAAAAACAAGAAGGTCAGCTCCATTTAAACCAGCTGGACCTGAAAGCAAGCTATGCTGCACTGGCTCAGTCGTGACTTACTCCCTGAGACGAGTAAACCGAATGTGCGCTGGCACGCACAGATGAGGCATGATTGTTATGAAGAGTGACATAAGCCTCCGCCAAGTGAAGCATCACCGGACGCCCGTCACGCTAGCGCTTTCCACAATTACCGCCAACTGTTTTGATAGCGAGAGATGTTACGCAAGCAAAGAGTTCAAACTCCTCCAAGACAGGAGGCCGATTCTGCGATAACCTCACTTTCGTGTCTGGGCGTCCCAGGAGACTAGTGTCTCTCTCTGCTCTCTTTGTTGGTAGAGCAGTTCAGTCAAACGTTTGCATCACTGCAACACGAACAAAACCTCTCATTATTTGCAGGATCTCAATTAAATTTTATCTTAGCCAATTTAAAAGATCTGTACGGCAGCAACTTCTCTCTTAATTGCTAGGGGTTTTTTTTTTTTTTTGTGAAAATAAAGCCTTGGCTGATAAAACACTGAAGATATGGGATACTGCGTTTGTGACAAGAGAGCAAATTAATGCACTGTCATCCTTCCATTGAAGTAAGTCAAGGGATGATTCTCCCTCGGTCTCCCAAGGCTAACTGCTTTTTGTCCCAGAAAATATGCAATGGCATGACAAAAAAATCTGCAAATGCATATGATAGCACAACACTCGTGAACTGAACACATATAGGACTAAAAGGAAAAAAAAACAGCACATCCAAACATATTCTAAAGAGACTGGATGATGTGCAGTGTGGCTGCCTTAATAAGTGGGTGTAGTTCATCTGGGGATTTCCACTGGTGGAGTAAAAACGGCTACGCTGGACACTAGGGAAGACGAGAGGGGGGAAAGAGAGGAACTGCAGACCAGGATTCCTCCCAATTAGCTCACTTCGACATTCTGGTTCTGTCCCAGTTGGCTCCCAAAGCTTTTCTTGGCTCAACAAAGCAAGAGAATCAGGCTGAAATAGGGTCCATGAAGAGGGCCGTCTGAACTGGATCTCCTTTTATCCTCGCATTCCAACATGTCCAGGGATTCAAGGCCCACAGGCAACGTCTGCTCCTGCGTAATAAGAACCAACGGCCCATTTTATTTGAAAATCAACAACCAACCGATTGCAATTTTCTTGGCCGATTCCGATTTCATTTCTGATTTTTCGTTAGTGTGATCTGCCGATTCCGATTTTCTTTCTAAGAACTATAATTGACAGCATATACAAACAAAAATCTACTTTTCTTCAACGCAAAGTTTTATTTTCATAAAAAAACACAAGTAAAAAGTCAGTAATAAAATAAGAACAAATAAAAAAAATGGCAAACAACAGCACAAACAAATGCAATAGAATAAAGAGAGCTATGAAACCAAGTTTTTCAGGTGAAGTAAGTTTTTATTCCAGTAAGAAATACTACAGAAATTAAAGTAATCAAATGTAAAATAACACATCCAGTGTTTTATGATACTTTAATTTCTGTAGTCTTCATTGTAAAAATTAAATACAGATTAATTCTTACCATTAAAGTTATAAAACGTATTCTGTCAAGAGCAGAAAATTATTTTCTTTGTCTCTTGTTCTTTGATTAACATGACAGACAGCAGCAGGAATATTGGACTGCGGTCCCTTTAAGAGTTTATCCACAGACCCGATATACTGTTACACAATATGCGTTCTCTTTCTCAACTATTTAACGTTCCAAAACTGACTGTGTTTAACTGGATACTTGCCAAGACGGGCATTTTGACATTATTTTGTATGTATTTGAATGTTTTAGCGCAGTTAGCCACTCATTTTGGTATTTGCTTACAAGCTGTTTGAGACTGAGCGTGGCTTGTGCGCTCCACTAATGTAGATCGGCGGAGTTGCGCGCGCGTTTGGTATAAGCACGAAACCTGCGGGAATGACTAAAATAATACAATACAAGCACTATTTAACGAATGAGACGTGTGTGAGAGAGAAGGGGTCGTTGGAGAGATGAGAGTGAGAATGCGCGGCTGATGTTATTGCCTGTGCCACTGGTAACAAAACGGATCGGCTCGGAATCGGAAAGAAGTGAGACTGACCGGCCGATCACCGATCCGGGCCGATCATGAGAAAAATCGGCCGATTCCGATCCCTGGCCGATCGATCAGTGCATCTGTAGCCTAATCAATGGATTACCAAAAAGTGATTTAAGCCCGAAACTTGTGGCCGTTAAGCCACCGGTTGCCAACATGGCCAGTGACGGCAGAGATGTCTATCCCTCCAGCCGCTAATTACACCGTTAGCCCGCAACAACTGGGCAGCAGAGCTCCTGCCGCTTAGTGTCCATGTCGGAGTGTCTTCATTAAGTGAGTGTCTCTTCGAAACAGCCTCGATCACTTAGTGAAATCACTGAGAATGGCTGGAGAGAGAGCGAAGCACAACAAGAACTCTCCAATGGGGAACCAGGATGCAAACACACCCTCATCCACACCCACGCAAGCCAACGCCTGGGCTCTGCTCAAAGAGCGCCGGGCGTTGATTAGCCATGACAAGGAGCTGCTGCTTCCAAAAATATGCCGCTCGTTCCGGAGCAGCATGGCCATGCATGAATAAACATCATCTGTAATGGAGCTGAATGAAAATGAGACGCTGGCCTTTTTTAAGCTGATCTACCAAGAAGGGCCTCTCCCTCCCGACTCCCTGCGCTAAAAGTCACCTGCTAGCTGAACGTTGGCTTATTAACTCAAAGAGCGCTGGGCGTTGATTAGCCATGACAAGGAGCTGCTGCTTCCAAAAATATGCCGCTCGTTCCGGAGCAGCATGGCCATGCATGAATAAACATAATCTGTAATGGAGCTGAATGAAAATGAGACGCTGGCCTTTTTTAAGCTGATCTACCAAGAAGGGCCTCTCCCTCCCGACTCCCTGCGCTAAAAGTCACCTGCTAGCTGAACGTTGGCTTATTAAAAATTGCTTTGATAGAATTTGCTAAGCTCTTGAACCTGGTAAACACGCCAGGAAAACAACCATTATTGTGCTGAGAGCAAGGTTTTAGATCATATGCTCTAGAGACTCTGAAGTCTTGTAATAATTTGATCTTTCTCTGGTCTGGGCTCTGGTAATACTATAAAAAGACTCTTGATGAACTATACATGCACCAGCTGCGAGAATGAGGTTATACAGTATGTAAACGAATGGGCAGAGAAGATGAACAGCATTTCATAACATTGTCATGTTTTGAGGGATGCAGTGGAAAAGGAAGCCAGCTCTCTTACTGTTGTTGTCTGTGTCATCGCTGACACTCTTAGGAGGAACGTGGCCGGTGTAACCGACGGCGGTTCTGTACATTCGATCCGGATTACGTATTTTCTTCAGTCCTACAGGGGACACAGTGGGGGAGGGAACAGTGAGGGGAGAAGGTCTGTAGATACAAAAATACAAAGCCCTCTACTTTCTATTCATGCAGAGGTCATTAATTGCTTCTATTCTCACCTTCTGAATGACCCTGGCGCATTATGACTGTGATGCTGCGATAAAGTTTTGCCCTGCCGCAAATGACTGCTTCATGCACTACGGGTCAAAAGGTCATTCGGGTTTATTTTAAGTTCAAGAAAAATAGCTGCCATCACGCTTGCATCTGTGAGTTTTTCCAGCAGCCATGTATTACAAGATGCGCACGTAGGTGTGCAATCAACTAGGCTGGCGAGGAGCTAAATCTACACGTTGAATCATACCACACGATGAGGTTCTACTAATTTCTGTGGCTTACTGGATTCTTAAATGCAGTTGGCAAGACAAAAAATTGCTTTTGAACATGGATGCACAAAATTAGCTTGAAACTAAGAATTTAACTGCTGCTCATTAAATGGACAGTTCATCCAAAAATGTAAACGGTCAGCATTTACCCAGCCTCGTGTCATTCCAAACTGTTTCTCATACTCTGAGATATTTTAAAGAATGTAGGTAACCAAATAGTTATGTTTGCCCTTGATCTTCATTGTAAGAAAGAAAAAAAACATGACATTGGTCAAAATATCTTTTTTAATGTTCCACAGAAGAAAGTCAAATTTTAGAATGCCGTGAGGGTGAGCAAATGATTTTTATTTTTGCGTGAACTATCCCTTTATGAAAACAGCAAAGTCTGACGCTGTACGCAACACATAATGTGAGACATAAAAAGCATGCAAACTACTGGAACTGAAATCCGTAGAGCTAAACCATCCAACACTTTAATTTCCCCCTGTTGTCACCTAAACATTGGTAAACATAGCTGTTCATTTTCATATCGACTCTTTAACAGTGATGGCCAAGGATTTAGTACTGGAAGCACTGGTAAACAGGACACATTGCGCTCTCTCTTTCCAGTTGGCTAATCAATCCATACAATCAATAATTTAGAAAGGATATATTGAGTGAAAAGAAACTTCTACTGAGTGGGAGACACGGCAACAGAAAACACAGCTTACTATGTTCATTTCATCAGGAAAAACTTCAGAGAGGCTAGATAAATTTTACACAACCCAATTTGTCTGGAGGAGCCAGTAGTATCAGTTGTATTTTTTTATGCTTCGCTAAACAGATCAGAAACACCCAGAAGCTTAATTTTAAGCAAAACCACACAGTGAAATTTCACTTTTCTGATAAACTGAGATTTGATGAGCAACCAAATATATTCAGTTAAGCTTACAGAGCCTGAGGTTCGCAGCACAATACAGGTGAGTGAAAGCACGTGTGACAGAGAGAGAAAAAATACAAAAGAACCGTGGAGAAAGAGACTTTCATGCCCTTTCTAGCCAAAGAAATATTCCAGAACATGACTTTGAAAACATCTAAAAGCTGATGGGGTAGTGAGAGGAGCACATCCTTGTATGTAAGCTGCCATCATCGTGTTGGCAAGAACCACTGGAGGATACGCTTCCTGTGTGGAGGAAGAGAATAGAAGTGATCCAGGAAGCTGGCAAGAGCAAAGACTGTCAGATACAAATGCGTGACACAGATTTAGGCCGTACAGGTCAAAAGAGGCAATGTTTTCTCCTGTTCTGTGGCAGCTCAAATGGATAAAAATAGCCTAGAATCCTTCTGTCCCCAAACTTACGTCCTATTATGACACATTTTTCTTTCTAAGAAGTAGAGCAAGAGCGCAAAGCGTTACCTGACTGGACTTGCGAAGATAAATATACACGATGAAACAAAGAAAGGTAATACCTTTTTCTGGCCAGGTCATCTCTCAGCAATAGCAAAAACGAAGATATCCACCAACAAGCAGGAAACACAAGCGTGCTAAAGCCTATAGATCCAAAGTAGTGTGTAATTAATACTTTCTAGAAGACAATTCTATACGGTCACTAGAGAAACAGCACACATGCACGCTACCGTCCCACACAGGCGCTCTGTGAGCTCACCCAAATCACACTGGTCAACTTCGTTCGAATTCTACTTTGATGGAATTCTTTAATAGGCAAGCTTAGTTATCACTCTTAGTTCCAGTGTGTGTATGTGTGTGTGTGTGTGTGTTGGGGGGTTTGAAGGGGGGTATAGAGTTGCACAGCTCAATAGCACCACCCTGTGGCTGTTATGGACCAAAACTTCCTTGACTGCCTTGATTTAGAAGAAAAAAAATTAGTTGAATAAATAATTCAATGTTGACAAACTCATGGTTGTTATTTTAAGCCATTCCAGACCTAATTTTCCAATATTACTCAACAATCAGCATTTTCTCCTCCCGGATGCTTTAGAATCAAACTAATGTCTGACAAATGATCTGGCCCCTAGAAAACATTACGTTTTCCAAAAGGCATCAGAGTAAACGGAACACGAGGAATTCAGAAGGCAAGGGAGCGTCTTGTGAATCATAAATGCGATCTGCATTATTTACGTCTTCCGTCAAATTCGTTATATTGATATTTCAAAAATACACACATTTTAGTCTGAAAGAATTTCATTCGAACGTAAGGGAAAGATCAAACGCATCCTCAAAGAACGATGCACATGGCGCACTCCGTTGATGCAAAGAAAGTGAACTTTAGATCACGACCATATAGATAGAGGAATTAAGTCATAATCGCATTCGGATCAAATTCTAGCGAATAGTAACAGCATAAACTTGGTTTTAGTTGCCGAGCATGGCTTTAGCAAAGAGGAGAGACGTACCTTTCATTTTGCTGCCTCATTAAAATTCCGCTTCAATTTTCCCAGTGTCCTTTCCAATCCAGTTTAAATGTGTTATTATCTAAGAAAATAGCTGCTGACAGCTTCAAAACAGCAGCGGCCAAAGAGTCACAGTTCTGGGGAAATATTCCACACGAGACTGAAGCAGACCGAGCAGCTGTCGGTGGGTTCAGTCACTATAAGGGGGGTTTCTGGTGGGGGTGGAAAGAAATCAATCACGTTTTAGAGCATCACCATAAATCTGCATTTATCGCTTTCGGAGTTAAAAGCGTCGCCCTGTTCAATGCGAAAGAGAAATGAAGTAGTTGACCGCGTTTGACTTCACGGAGCTCGCTTGTTTGTCAGCCCCACGGGGGGGGAGCGTGGATGCGGTGTGGAGGAATCCCACTTCAAACCAAACGCGAGTCATTTCACGCGTTCATTTCGTCTGATGCGCTCATGTGCGCGTCTCACTTATAAGAAAAACATGTTTCTCTTCATCTAACGAAGGCTGTGGCTCGGCTTGACTTGGGTGCGTGTGACTTTGAAACCCCTCTGTGTGCTTTGAGATGAAAGGAGTCGCGTAATGAACGTAACCCGTGATTACCTAACTCCGTTCCCGTTATTTTAATAGCCGTCTCGGAGATGGCTAATCCCATCAGCGCTTCAGCTCTTGTGCCATTTCGTGACAAACACAAGCTAAGCGAAAATGTCACTGACTTTCTCCGCCGCGCATCCCTATCCTGACCTTCATCATCTGGAGCTTAACGCCGACAAAGCTGCGAAATTAAAAATAATAATCTTGTTATTTCTCTCTTACCTTCCGGCTTGTTTTCGGCAGCCATTTCCCCTCCGCGCGCCACATCCTCCTCCTCCTCCTCCTCGCGACCGGGGGGGTACCACGCGCGTTCACGGCGGGAGGCGCGTGCGTCAATACGCGTTAGCTATTGGCCGCAAAGTGCCATAAATGACAATGGTGTTTTCGGTGATGCTTCGTGAATTTGCGAAATCCATATCCCCCTTTTATCCATCTCTTCCACGCCATTGGTGAATGGGTTTTATTTAGGAGACACCTTTACAACGCAGCGACCAATAAGGTTTTTGGATCGGATTTAGTGGTATGCATATATGAGAAGCAGAATCTGTGGATTATATTTAAGTCTATGCGACGAATGTTTATGAATGCATGCTTGACAGACACCCATATCCGTTCTGCCCACCGGGACCGTAAAAAAACTATTTTATAACACTGCTAATCGAGATACGTGTCCAGCAGTCTAAGTACTAATAACATGCCCCACTGTGTCATATAATTAGATGTTAACGGCCATGTTAGAGTCGTTAATCTGCCACTCGTGCTGAAGATGATTGTGAAACCAGAATGGCATGGGTTTAAGCATGATGACGGTTTTGCACTAAAAGGTTATTGTGTTGCAAGGCAGCAGTGATGCAACAGAATAAAACAAAAAGAAAGAAAGAAAGAAAGAAAGAAAGAAAGAAAGAAAGAAAGAAAAGAAAAAAGAAACACCTGGAGGCTCCAGTCTCGGTCATGAGTTCTTGAGCGCTGTCCACTCGTGGGTGCTGAAGGAGGTGGTGCTGAAAGAACAGCTCCACCACAAACAGACTGAGCATTACAGTGGGTACGGAAAGTATTCAGACCCCCTTACATTTTTCACTCTTTGTTATATTGCAGCCATTTGCTAAAATCATATGGAGGAGAGACCTAAAAATGGCTGTCCACCAACGTTTACCATCCAACCTGACAGAACTGGAGAGGATCTGCAAGGAGGAATGGCAGAGGATCCCCAAATCCAGGTGTGAAAAACTTGTTGCATCTTTCCCAAAAAGACTCATGGCTGTATTAGATCAAAAGGGTGCTTCTACTAAATACTGAGCAAAGGGTCTGAATACTTAGGACCATCTGATATTTCAGTTTTTCTTTTTTAATAAATCTGCAAAAATGTCAACAATTCTGTGTTTTTCTGTCAATATGGGGTGCTGTGTGTACATTAATGAGGAAAAAAAATTAACAAATGATTTTAGCAAATGGCTGCAATATAACAAAGAGTGAAAAATTTAAGGGGGTCTGAATACTTTCCGTACCCACTGTATATGTCGGTCTGCCGCCGCTTTCCCAAATCAAGCCAAATCACGAGTGTTTACGCACAACAACACAGCACGTAGTGATGACTGCAAATGTTATTTGAACAACAGAATCTTAAAAATAAGAAAAATACATACAATTATTATGCATGCAGTAGGTCTATTATTATAAATCTGAGACACTGTATAGATTAAAAAAGTCATATGCTACAAACATTTGAAATTACGTCAAAATGTGGTTAACAATGGTGACAAATGGTGACCTAAAGTATAAATTCCCTTTAAACTTCTTCTAAAATTGATTAAACATGTTCGTGGAAACAAACAGTATATAAAATAGCATATGTTCCCTACTGTATGTGAGTGCAGAATTAATCATAACGCTACCATTGTGTTTTAAAATAAATAATAAGGATGTTGGATTAATATTTAATGAATATTTAAATGTACAAATTAATTATTTAAAACAAATAATAATAATAATAATATATCCATTAAACATGAACCCAAAGTGATGATTTAAATCAAACTTTATCATCCAGGAATCTGTCTAATAACGGATATATTTAAATGTTAAATGAATTTAAGTTTCATAACTCTCCCTCTCTCTCTCCCACCAAATACACAAAATAATGTTCTTTTTAGCAACGGCATATGACCCCTTTAATACAAAAGCGCGCCATGGCACAGTCTTACCTGAGCAGGACAGCCAACCAGAAGCCTGCTATCAGGGTGTGGCTGAACCAACTAATTTAAATATTCAGATTATGTTGACTCTGGCTGATATGCCATCCATCCATCAACCTTTACATCTGTCATCTACTGTTTATCTATTTTATGGTCCGCAGGCTAGTCAAGAGGAGTTGAAGTCGTCGTACAGGCGGCTTTGTATGCTGTACCACCCTGACAAGCACAGAGACCCTGAGCTAAAGAAGCAGGCTGAGCAACTCTTCACCTATGCACACCAGGCGTATGAGGGTAATTATTAGAACTGTCCCAAGGAATAATATGACAATTTTCAGTACACAGATTAAAGGATTTTTTTTTTTTACATGAAAGGCCAAATAACCATAAAGCTTGGTGTATTATATTTAATATATGATTTTCTGAGGCAGAAAATTAGTTGTACACAATTGTCTACATGCCTTCTTCAGTTGTCTGATTGATAGTTCATGGTTTTTGTAATTTGTAAATTAAAAAAAAAAACTTTTAGTATAATTATAAAACTTTAGGTCATAGTATATGTCTTTTTGCTTTGAAATCTTTAATTATTTTTATAAAGTAAACTACTTGGTGACTAATATATTGTTAGTAATTATTGTTAAACAGTAACTGGACATAAGCAACTTGGGTTTACTTTATTAGCCATACATCATTTTTAGAAAAATCAGGTTAAATGTATCAAATATGCCTTTGAAGAATGTTTATTCGTACATTTTTTTAAACATTGTTTTATTGCATTATATTGTTTTGCACCTCAATACAAATTTATGAGTTTTTATAATAAAACTTAGCATTTACATTTTTTTAATAAGGCATAGTATTGGCAGAACCTAATGGTCATATAAATAATAATATCTGCACAAAATTGCCTATTTTTGCTCAGTTTGTGTCCGAATAAAATCAAGGTTTCTTCGAGTAAGAGCTCGACATTCTCACTATATGAGACCCTGGATCGTAAAACCAGTCATAAGGGTCAATTTTTTGAAATTGACATTTATACATCATAATTTCATTCATACACAATAATTAAGCTTTCCATTGATGTATGGTTTGTTAAGATACAACTATTTGAAAATCTGGAATCTGAGGGTTCAAAAAAAATCAAAATATTGAGAAAATCGCCTTTAAAGTTGTCCAAATAAAGTTCTTAGCAATGCATATTACTAATCAAAAATTAAGTTTTTATATATTTATGGTAGGAAATTTTTAAGATATTTTCATGGAACATACTTAATATCCTAATGATTTTTGGCATAAAAGAAAAATCGATCATTTTGACCTATACAATGTATTTTTGGTTATTGCTACAAATATACCCGTGCGACTTATGACTGGTTTTGTGCTCCAGGGTCACATATCATACTATATGAGCTATAAAAGCCAGATATAAAACAAATATGCTTTTTTGTTTCTAACATTTTGTCTAAAAGTTCAAGAAAATGTTAAATTTTCTATTATTTCATTTGTCAGGCTTTAGAGGGTTACAAAACCATTTATGTGGCATTTCCATACAAGGAATTTCATGGTGACCACAAATAAAGCAAGCCATGCAGATTTGAATGTTTGAATACTTTAATTTCTTGATAAAGTATTAATTTAAACTTCTACTTAAAAGGGTTGTGGTAGATAAAAAAAAAAACACTGAATACTGACTTAAAGTTGTATTAGTAAAACTATTTTTTAGAAATGTAGATGCTTCCCAATTCACATACTGTGCACTATTCTATGCCGTTTTGTAGTATAAATAGTGCGAGTAGTGTGTTCACAGTAGAAGTGTGAAAATGGAAATATTGCTATTTGTAGTCCAAATAATAAGAGATATTGATAGATATACACTTTAGTATTGGGACCAATTCTCACTATTAACTAGTTGCTTATTATCATGCCTATTATTATCATATTAGCTGTTTATTAGTGCTTATATAGCACATATTCTGCATGACCATATTCTACATCCCTAACCCTACCCAATACCTAAACTTAACAACTACCTTACTATCTATTAATAAGCAGCAAATTAGGAGTTTTTTTAGGCAAAGGTCATAGTTAATGGTTTGTTAATAGTGAGAATTGGACCTTCCAATAAAGTGTGACGGAGATATTTTTTATTTGACTTTCATTATTTGACCTCTGCTTAGTTCTCAGTGACCCACAATCCCGAGCCATATATGACATATTTGGGAAGAAAGGCCTAGAGGTGGAAGGTTGGGAGGTTAGTTTGATCTTCTGCATTGACAGTGTTTATTCTAACTAATATTTGTATTACTGTGTGTTGCATGCCATGCTAATTTCTCGTCTGCTTGCTTGATCCCTGATATCTTTAGGTGGTGGAAAGGAAGAGAACCTCCGCAGAGATAAGGGAGGAATATGAACGTTTGCAGCGAGAGAGAGATGAGAGGAGACTCCAGCAGAGAACAAACCCTAAGGTGGACATTCCAGACCAGAATGACAGCGGGAGATAATGACAAGACTGGTTTTTATTTCCCAAAATGAAGTTTGTTGTGCTCTAACTGATGTAATTTCAAAGATTCAATATTGCCAATTTGTTTATAGGCCAGATAATTGCAGTCAAATCTTTGCTTTTTTTGCTGAGGGTGATTGAGGACTGCTGTCTTGATTGGTTTTTGGTCTTTTCTCTTTTTGTAGACCTGTTTGCACGAACCGTTTGCACATTGTAATTTATCAGGAAAGTTTGTAACACAGGGTCTTCAATTCAGTTTGATCAAATTTAAGGCTATAAAATATTTTCAGTATCTTAAATGGCATAACAAAATCATTTTGGAAGTTAATTTTGTGGATGGAAATCTGGAATCATGAGACAGTCTGCTCTGTATGTTTCAGAGCAGTTTAATGTCAGTGTATACCACGCATTTCTGAGAAGTGATTTCTTATGATCTACTAGTGATAAATAGAATTGTGCAGGAATTCTGTAGTTTTGCAGACCAAAACCTATAAGCAAGTTTTAGCCCTTCCAGGTCAATACGTTTTTTTGATTGGATTTTTGGATAAATTCCTGAAATAACTTCTATTGACAAAACCTTAAGATATTTTTACATTTTATTCTGCAACATCAAATACATCAGCAAAACTGTCTTGTGTTTTTAAGCTTTTTTTTGTCATGTCAAAAGGTGGCTAGAACTACTGATCTACTCACTAGTTCACTTTCACAGCCTTGTTGTGTTTATAATCACACTCTTACAAATTATTCTAACTCAAACTTTCAGGGAAAATGCTTTTGAAATGAAGACTGAAAGTTGTTTGAAGCTATGTGGTGGTGATGTGACCATGGTGTTGCTTATTTAGCTTTTTAGTTCTGCCGATTGTATTTAGGTTTCAAAATTCAATTTGGGTTCATTTGTGAAGATTATGATGATGAACAAAACAAAAAAATCTGATGCTGACTTCTGGGTCAGCCTGCAAAAATACGCCATCATCAGTGCAGCACACTGCTGGGTTTGTTCTGTACAGACATACAGTATTAAATTAATTTGTACAGGTCCTAAAAAGATCTTCAATTACATAAAAAAAAGAAACCCTGCACATTTCATGTCACAGAATTGGTCCGAATATTTTTTTTACTCATCATTTTGTCTGTTTTCATTCAGGGGACAATAAGTGTTGGCATAGATGTGACCGACCTCTTCGACCGATATGAAGAGGACTTTGAGGATGTACCAGGAGGAGGTTTTCCCCACATTGAGATCAACAGGATGCATATTTCCCAATCCATTGAGGTCAGTATGTACAATTGAGCATAACGTAATGTCGCTATCTCCCTTATGGAAGCCCGTTCCGCCACTGAAAAAAAAAAGAAAAAGATAATTGCAACTTTTTCTCTCACACTTCTGACTTTTTTGCTCACAATTGTGTGATATAAAGTCTCAATTGTGAGTTATAAAGTCAGAATTGTGAGATATAAACAATTCTGTTTGACAAAAAGTCAGTCTTCTTTTCCTCAGAATTGGACTTTATAACTCGCAATTGTGAGAAAAAAGTCAGACAAAACAGTCAGTCAAGTTTATATCTGCACTTCTGTTTTTATTTCTCACAATTGTGAGTTTATACCTCACAATTCAGAGAAATCAGATATACAGTAGTCAGCATTTGAAGTGGATCGAAACACTTTTTCAAAGTTGTCCTAAGACAAGAACACATTTTGTTTTAGGTTTTAGGAGAACTTTGATGAAAGGTTTTGATCCACTTCAAATGTTGACTAGTGTAAACTCGCAATTGCAAGAAAAGTCAGTGAAAAAATCAGAATTCCAAATATCTTGCAATTCTAAATTAGTAACTAGCAATTGCATGTTTATAGCCGCTTTTCCACCGAAATTACCTGGAACAATTTGTCCCAGGAACTTTTTTCCCCCAGACCTGTTGCTGTCTGCGTTTCAAGCACGGTCCAAAGTACTGTGAAGAATAGGCAAATAGTCTGGTGACGTACAGTGGTGTGAAAAAGTGTTGGCCCCCTTCCTGTTATTTAAATTTTTTGCATATTTGTCACACTTAAAAGATTCACATCATCAAACTAATATTAATATTACACAAAGATAATGCAAGTAAATACAAAATGCAGTTTTTAAATGATTATTTATTAATAAATGAAATCATCATTTAAAAACTGCATTTTGTATTTATTTGCATTATCTTTGTGTAATATTTAAATTAGTTTGATGATCTGAAACATTAAAGTGTGACAAACATGCAAAAAAATAAGAAATCAGGAAGGGGGCCAACACTTTTTCACACCACTGTAGGTCTGCACACGTTTCTCAATACCAAGTATGCAAATTTCGGACTTGCATCCTCAGTAGTTCGGACTTTGCAAGTTCGACTCGGGAGTGTGAACTCCCGCGGACGGGACGACGCAAGTCCGGTAATTCTGCAAACAGCAGCATACTTGATAACGTCAGTCAGCTCGCCTTGGATACTGCAATTTTCCTCACTTTATTTACAATAAGACGAAATATCAAACACCACTGCCTCTTTTCATTTTCATTTAAACATATTAATAGCCGCAGAAATGTAGTTCAGGAAACGTACAAACATTACAATGAAACAAAATATTATATCAAACAGTATTGCTACTCTTCATTTTCATTTTAACATATTTATAGAATAAAGACCAAAGATTTCCTGTTAGATTTACCCAAAACGAATTATATCATATGTTTAACCACTACAGAGACATCAGAGCCAGCGGCAAATGCCAGAAGGACTAGGCGAGTTGAGGCTGCTCTCATCGGGAAACATGAGCACTGAACGCCCGCTGATCGCGTGGAGCTCACGTCTCCGAAATCGGCGAAGCACATTTTCAAATAGGCGCTGTCTTTATAAATAAACCGCAGATTTGAGTTTTAAACAACTACATTATCGCCTGAAATACTTTTACAACTACATTTCATTTACATTTCACAATAACCGTAATATTTTGAAAATTATGCAAATAAATAGTGGTTGAAATACAATGCTGCGTGAACCAATCAGCATGTTCAGCGCCCAAGTCCCACCCCCGAAAGTTTGAAAAAGTACTACCTTGCGAGCAGGGACTGTCTGAGGGGCAAATTTTTACCCGAAACTTTATTTAGATCCTGGTTCCTGCAGTGGAAACACACTGAGTACCGGCCCAAAGTCCCTAGTTCCTGGGGAAAGTTCCTCCCGATCCTCCCTATACGCAAAATACACAAGCTGCGTAGGGGCCCCCTTGCTCTCAAAGATGATTTAATTTTAGTTTTGTTTTTGAATTTGGCCAGTGGTTATGAAAACATGAATGATCATTTATTTGAATGCGGTGCGCCCTTTCTACGTAAAAATCAGTCAAATCAAGTCAAAAGTCAAAATGTAATGTGAATGTCGTACAGTCTTGCTCGAGACTGAAAAACGAGTTGAAAGTGTACCGAGCCGCGGAAGAGACACTGTTTATCAAGCACATTTCGCGAGTGTTATTTGAGACGGAGTGAAACACGGACAAATGCGTTTCAGTCATTCGTTCATAACTGCTCATACACCACCACCCCCAACCCACCCCGCCCTGACACAGTTTTGCGTAGGGCCCCCAGAAGTCTAGGATCGGCACTGTATATCACTAAGAGAAATTGTACGTAAACTTGCATTGCGAGAGAAGTCATTGTGAGATAAAAAGTCGCAATTACTTTTTTAAAATTATGTTTATGTTTGTCAGGCGCCCCTAACCACTTCAGATACTGCTGTCCTCTCTGGATCTCTGTCAACACGTAATGGCAACGGGGGAGGAAATATAAACCTTTGTGTGCGGCGTGTGACCTCAGCAAGAGGCTGGGGAGAGGTGAGACTCTTTCCAACATACCTGAATAATTTTTTTTTTTGGGTGGTATGGTTCTGATGTTCCTGTTTGTGTGTCTTAAGCTGGAGTTTGGTGCAGGGGACATTAGAGGACCTTTATTTGGGATGAAAGTGTTCCGTAACGTAACTGCGCGCTGGTAGGTGTCCATCTGTGTGTGATGAGGCTGATTTGTGTTTCTCTTTTCTGTGAATCTCATATCAATTTTGTGTCACCTAGCTTTGTGACTGCCCAGTGGGGATTACAGTTCTCCTCACGTGGCGTGCGGCCCAGTGCCACTACAATGATGGCCCGCCACCTGGACCAGAACACTATGGGGTACCTGCAGTGGCGCTGGGGAAGCCAGTCTGCCATGACCACCAGCATTGTCAGGGACACCAAAACAAGCCACTTCACCCTGGCCCTGCAGGTGAAACCTATGCAGGGGTACACTGATGATGGTAATTTGTTTAGTTCAAAACAAAGTTAATGCGTTAAGAATGCAATCCATCTGTTCTTATTCCTGTTCCTCAGCTGGGTGTTCCTCATTCCTACCTGATGATGAGCTATCAGTACAAATTCCAAGATGAAGACCAGACTAAGGTCAAAGGTTCTATCAAGTATGTGTTTTACCTACAGCTTACAATATAGATGGCCAATCTATGCACATTACCATTCAAAATGTTAGATTTTATGTGTTTTTTTTAAAGAAGTATCTTTCAGTTATCAAGGCTGCATTTATTTGAACAAAAAAAAAACAGTAATATTATTACAGTTGAACTGTTTTCTGTTTAAATAAATATTAAAATGTAATTTATTCCTGTGATGCAAAGCTGTATTTTCAGCATCATTACTCCAGTATTTCCAGTGTCACATGATCCTTCAGAAATCATTCTAATATGTTGATTTGCTGCTCAAGAAATATTTCTTATTCATATTTTTTTTTAAAAATCTGCTGCTTAATATTTTTGTGGAAACTATGGTACTTTTTTCAGGATTCTTGTTGAATAGAATGTTCAAAACAACAGCATTTATTTGAATAGATGTTTTGTAACATTATAAAAATGCCACTTTTGATTATTTTAATGCATTTACACACACACACACACAAGTACTTTGAAACTTGAAACTGAAAAGTCCTTTAAATCATTGTAAAGTTTATATTAAGTTAATATATTCAATGTATTGCCCAGCCCTAGTTTCAGTAAAAACAACTCATAGTCTTTGTATTCAACAGGACTGGGTTCTTTGGCACCGTGGTTGAATACGGTGCAGAGCGCAAGATCAGTCCCCACAGTGTTCTGGCTGCAACCGTCTGCGTTGGTGTACCCCAAGGAGTCTCCCTCAAAATCAGGTTAGCACTGACCTGAGCTTAACTGCAATAAACACAGCTCACCAGAACAGCAAACTAACCAACTCCGGCTGCTCGTGGGTGGTCTGTTTATGACAGTCATTTTCTTCTCTCTACAGGTTGAACAGAGCCAGTCAAACCTACCTCTTCCCTATTCACCTGACCGACCAGATTTTACCCAGCGCTGTGTTTTATGCCACTGTGGGCCCGCTGGCCATCTACTTAGCTGTCCAGAAGCTTATAATTATGCCTTATGTACGAGCCCAGAAGGAACAGTGAGTTATTATCCACAATTACTGCTCTGAAACCGCCCATTTTCCTGAAACCCGTCTTTATGTTACCTCAGTTTCTCTGATGATGAAGGGCCCTGACTGTTTGGTTGTTTACAGGGAGTTGGAGAAACAGAAGGAGGATTCTGCTTCAGAAATTGCTCGCAGGAAGCAAGAGGCTGAAGCTTCCGTGAGTAAAATAAATACATAGACAACAATGACTATCTCCCTCTTGCCAGCACAAACAGCCATTTATCAGCGCAGATATGTTTTCTTGTGTTATCGTTTCTTTGGTTTTCAGGTTTTGCTGATGCAAGAGTCAGTGAAGAGAATTGTTGATGCTGAGGAATCGAAAATGGGTTTGTGAAATGCACTTTTATGTTTGTTTTTTAATACTTTCAGATACAACTTAAGCTCTATGGACAGCATCTGTGTGATATACTGGCAATTACCACAAAAATCATTTCCATTCATTTTAAAAACAAACAAAAGTTGCAGAGTAATGCAAGTGTGTATATAAGAAAAAAATTTAATATTTAAGAATAGACAGTATATCCATGCAACCATAAATATATACAGTTGTGCTCATAAATTTACATGCCCCTTGCAGAATATGCAAAATGTTAATAATTGTAACAAAATAAGAGGGATCATAAAAATTGCATGTTGTTGTTTGCTTAATACTGTTCTGAATAAGCTATTTCACATAACAGATGTTTATATATTCTCCACAAGACAAAATAATAACTGAATTTATAAAAATGACCCCATTCAAAAGTTTACATACCCATGAATCTTAATACTGTGTGTCATTTCCTGGATGATCCACGGCTGTCTTTCTGTGTTGTTCTTGAGTCCCTTGTTGGTCCAGAGCAGTTCAACTGCCTGCTGTTCTTCAGAAAAATCCTCCAGCTCCTGCACATTTTTTGGTTTTCCAACATTTTCTGCATATTTGAACCCTTTCCAACTGTGACTGTATGATTTTGAGATCCATCTTTTCACATGGAGGACAATTGGGGGACTCATACATAACTATTATATAAGGTGAAAACATTTACTGATGCTCAAGAAGGCAACACGATGCATTAAGAGACTGGGGGTGTACACTTTTGAACAGGATGATGTGTACATTTTTCTTATTTTGTTTAAAGATCATATTTTTTTTCATTTGGTTCTGCAGTTAAGAAGCTACATAAATACTTAAATGTTTCCCAGAAGACAAAATAAGTACAATTTACCCTGATCATCCAATTGAAAAATTTTACACCCCCCAGCTCTTAATGCATTGTGTGAGCAGTTGAGCTGCTCAGGACCAACAAGGGACTCGTGAACAACTCTCACAAAACAGAAAGACAGTCGTGGATCATCCAGGAAATGACACACCGTATTAAGATTCAAGGGTATGTAAACTTTTGAACGGGGTCACTTTTAATAAATTCAGTTATGATTTTGTCTTGTGGAAAATATATAAACATCTGTTATGTGAAATAGCTTATTCAGGACAGTATTAAGTAAACAATAACATGCAATTTTCATGATCCGTCTTACTTTGTTAAAAATATTAACATTTTGCATATTCTGCAAGGGGCATGTAAATTTATGAGCACAACTGTATGTTACTTTTACACTTTGCTGTCCCTACAGCTTAAAATGAAACATTCGTTTTAAATGAGCAATGTTTTATGTGTTGCAATTCATATTTTGTATTCTAGGTCTCATCATTCTAAATGCTTGGTACGGCAAATTTGTGTCAGACAATAGTCAGAAACGTGAGAGAGCAAAGGTCATTGACGTGACCATCCCGCTCCAGTGCTTAGTGAAAGACTCTAAACTCATTCTTACCGAAGCATCAAAGGTTAGACATGTAAACATCAACAGGTGCTTTACATCAGTGAGCTGCTTCAACTCCCACCAAGTGCTTTACATTAATTAGTTCTGTCTCATGTTAATCAGGCTGGCTTGCCAGGGTTTTATGACCCGTGTGTCGGAGAGGAAAAGAGCCTAAAGCTGCTGTACCAATTCAGAGGAGCAATGCACCAAGTCTTGTCTGGAGACACAGAGCCTCTTAAGATACCTAAACAAAGTGAGTCCTATGGCAAAAAATATATATAAAATATATTTTATAAAAATATAATATAAAATATTTTTTAATGTATTTAGAAATATGCAAAAAAAAAAAGGCCAACAATATATTTACATAAATATATTCTCTAACAATATATTTTCTGGCTTTTGGGTTTTTTTTTTTTGAAAATATTAAAATTTTAAAAATATGTCTTCCTTATATTTCAGTTCATTCACATATGGCACGTTTGAAGAAAAACTGTGAACATAAAACATGCTAGTAGGCTATTTTATCCACATTTGTTGTTGTTGTATATGAAGGTTGAAAATTGGTGTATTTTCAAAATATATTTCAATGAGTGTCACTGGTTACAATATTTATTTAGCATGTATTTAAAAACATAATTTTGGCTAGAAGAATAGCCATATGGGTCATGGTTAATTCAAAGCTCATTTAATAAGGAAAGTCTGTTTTTTTTCTCTCTCTCTCTTTTTATTCAGCTCATAGAATCAATTCAGAGACATAGGAGTCTACCCACATTGGAAGAATGAGCTCAATGGACATCAAATGAACATAAAGGGACAGTCAGACATCAAGTGATCCGAAGGGCTGCTCCTCTTCATTTCATGTAGTCACCCGTGTATCACCTTTGTGTCGTCTGTTTCTCTCAAATCCCTTACATATATATCGTCAATAGGTCGTTCACGTCCTAACATCTCCTTAAGATCTGGAGTTTTAACTGAGATTCCCGATGAACCACCTGAAGCCGTCACAGCTTCGATAGCTGTCTGTTATCAGGAAGGTCAGATATCGTATCACTCCGTCCATCAATTCTAATCAGTGTTAATCTTACAACTGGAAAGTATGGCAATACAAGTCGTCTTACAAAACTGTACTTGAAACTGTGCTGTACAAACAGTGGTTTCATAGGATGAGTGTTGATATTGACAGATGTTTTTGCATGTTTGGACACTGGAAAAACAGTATTCTTCAATACTCACTACTGTAAAAGCTGCTTTTTTTATTAGGCCAATCTGTTGTGATCAGAGCATCATGATTTCTTTTTACTCCAGGAGAAGTGTTATTTGAATTATGCTCATTGTGTTAATATTTGTATTTTAAGGTGAATCTCACAAAGAAATGTTTGGGTCATATGGATTTTTGGTTATTGACAATTTGGGGGAAAGTTTCAAATGTACTACCAAGAAAACTTAAAAAATAGGCACCACAACTTTTTTATGGGATTCATCAGTTCTTCCTTCAATCTGTAGTCAAGCCATATCAAAGATAGTTGCACAGTATATTCTCCAAATTTAAAATACTTAATGAAGTCAGCTGTATTCTATAGTCAGAGGCCCAGTGAATCGGAAAAAGGACAGGCTGTTGTTTTTATTTGTTTAGCTTGTCGTTCTTAGCATCTGGATGTTTGCTTTGATAGCAACTTTCCTCCTGTTTAGTTTTCTTAAGTTTTACGGTTTCAGACTGAGCTAGTGTAAAACTACAATGCCTTTTGGTTATTGAATGAAAGAGTTTAAGCAGAGTATGACAGCTCTATGTTCAGAACAATATCATTTTATTTAAAGATCCATTATTTCAAATGATCCTGAAATGAACCCACTGAAGCTTTGTGTTATTTAAATGTGCCATGCCCCTTTTAATTTTCTACATTTTTTCATTATTTTATAAGTGCTTTTGTCAGTAAGTGGGCAGTGCCTGCTTTGTTTCTTTTAGTGCTGTCAAACGATTAATCGTGATTAATCGCATCCAAAATAAGTTTTTGTTTACATAATATGTATGTGTACTGTGTATATTTATTATGTATATATAAATACACACACCTGCATGCATATATGTCAGAAAAATGTTGTTTATATATTAAAATATTTATATATATATATAATATAAATTATATGAATATAAATATATACATGTAGATACATGTAAATATTTTCAAAATATATACATGCAGGTGTGTGTATTTATATATACATAATAAATATACACAGTACACATACATATTATGTAAACAAAAACTTATTTTGGATGCGATTAATCGCGATTAATCGTTTGATAGCACTAGTTTATTTGTAACTGTCTTTTCTGTTGTACCTTTCATCTGTTGGGCTATAAGGGAAAAAAAATACATTTCAACAACAAATTCGTTTTTTTGTTGGAGTATCAACAATAATTTTCGCATTTAGAACCGTCAAAAAAAAAAAAAGTCTGAATCTCCCAGAATCTTCGGTCGGTGTTAAATACATGAACTATTGACAGGCCATGTAACCATTTTGGCATTCTCTGATTTGTAATCAGTGTCATTTTACCCTGCACGTTTTAGCATAGTTCATGTTCATGTAAATGGCTTCTTCAAGCCACATTTTGCAACTCTGAAAGAAACTGGTGTTGCATTCCTATCTGATGCAAAACCTTACAAATGTGTTAATGTAATGTAGTCAACCTGAAGAGTAATTTAAATAAAAAGTGAAGAAACCTACACTTCATCTGAGCTGAATGACTAAACACCGCAACATACACGTGACAAATCAAAACATTATCCTGAATGTGTGTGGAAACAAGTGAATGTAGAGACATTTATGTGTACATTCTGAGATTCAACCAGTAAGGTTGTCCATCCCTTCCCTAACCTGTACACACACACAAACTTTGTCGCTTCCATGAATTGTCATTAAAATCATCTCTTTATTTATAACGGTTCACAAGAAGTTTCACAGAAACATCACTCTTTCTTTTCATTGGACTCTGCGTAACAGTGGGAACTCAAAACTTCAGCAGTTCTTCTTGCACACAAACAGCCCTGAAATATCAGCCATACTACATAAACACAGGATTGTACAAAACAAAATGTACAGAACCGTCTTCCATGATCCCTTGATAAATGGTTTAAAAAAAGAAGCATCAACATAAGCAATTCAATTTACAAGTGACACTTATTTCCACAAAACAATGAAACGCTAGCTTGTTCAATAAAGGCCTACAAATGACATCTTCCCAAAACGTCCTTTGAGCTGAATGACTAAACACCGCAACATACACGTGACAAATCAAAACATTATCATGAATGTGTGTGGAAACAAGTGAATGTAGAGACATTTATGTGTACATTCTGAGATTCAACCAGTAAGGTTGTCCATCCCTTCCCTAACCTGTACACACACACAAACTTTGTCGCTTCCATGAATTGTCATTAAAATCATCTCTTTATTTATAACGGTTCACAAGAAGTTTCACAGAAACATCACTCTTTCTTTTCATTGGACTCTGCGTAACAGTGGGAACTCAAAACTTCAGCAGTTCTTCTTGCACACAAACAGCCCTGAAATATCAGCCATACTACATAAACACAGGATTGTACAAAACAAAATGTACAGAACCGTCTTCCATGATCCCTTGATAAATGGTTTAAAAAAAGAAGCATCAACATAAGCAATTCAATTTACAAGTGACACTTATTTCCACAAAACAATGAAACGCTAGCTTGTTCAATAAAGGCCTACAAATGACATCTTCCCAAAACGTCCTTTGAGAGGAAGACAAAATGTTTCCAAAGTAAGAGTTTAAGGATATCCAGTTTTAATGTGCATAAAAAAAAACACTGTGGAGACTGTCCACTGACTCATCAGACAATAAGACTAGGCCAATTTCAGAAATTATCAAATTTTTACCAAACTGGACCAAATTTAAAATTTTTAAAAAAGTTTTATGGTCAGGCATGCAGACTATTAAAAGTGGAAAGCTAACATATACTAAATAGTCATATTAAAGGTGCCAAATTATTTATCTTCCCTGTGTTTATCTCATCTATCAGAACAGTACATTCTGAAGATGAACATTTTTTTTTTTTTAATTTACAAAATGTCATCAAGAAACAAACTAATGCTTTTTGTGATGGGAGTGGGCCAGCTAACAGGACACAATCGCACATTTATAAAACGGATAGTTTCGGTCCTTGATTCTGATTGGTTGAGCCGCGTTCAAAGCTGTTGTAAATTACTCTACAAACACACACCTTTTGTGTACTTCTGTGTGTTGCTCTGCAACCACTTTGTTGGAACCACAACTGTTTCTGAGGAACTACATTGTTTGGTGGAAGAATACTGTTTTTATTTATATCATTACACTTTATTTGCTCTGTTTTATTCTGTGAAACCTTACTACGTATATGGAATAACCGTTTTATAAAAGCAATAAGCCCTGTGAAGACAGCTAAGAGGGTTTGCTTCACGTCGTGCCTAACGCCCCTTAGCTGTTATAAATTCACTGTAAACCACGGCTTCTTGGGGCTTAATGCTTTATTTTATTTGAGCATGCCTATGAACATGAAAACAGACTCATCGATTATTAACCACGTTAAACCGGTCACAGTGGTTAACAAGAATTACACCCTTATGAATGATTCCTCTGAATACAAGCTCCGCCAGTAAGGTTTGAAAACCCAAGATTTGAAGACCAAATAATACTTGTACAGTGTTTTGAATGTAAATATGACTACTACGTAAGCCATGGCATTTCAGCATACGCAGGACAAAAAAAAAATTTCTTCCCTTTGGCATGTGAATCTCAAAAAACCTGACAAGAACATGGCCAAGAAATATTTTACCACAAAATTTGCATTGTTACTATTTTCATGACAAAATAGAAAAGGCTAACTTTGTTCTTACAGTAACGACAATATAAATAGAACCACCACTGAGAATGGAGAGAGAGAGAGAGAGTTAGTTATATATTTTTTAATAATACTATATTAACTAAATAATTTATAAATGTTGGGGTGAAATGTGATCTGGATATGTTTTTGTGAGATTCTGAGATTCACCCAGTAAGGTTGTCCATCCCTTCCCTAACCTGTAACAACTATCACATATTTTACATAATTAACATATTAAACATCTGCTTGGGGGAGGGGAAGCATGACAAAAATATCATTAAAACATTACAACATGCAAACTAAAAGTTTCTTGTTCAATGAAGGGCAGAAAATGCAGAAATGAAATCAAGAAAAAGAAATGGCACATATAGTCTCTAGTTATCTCCAATATGTTGGCAAAAAAAATAAAAAATCAAGAAATACCACAATGTAGCAAGGACCGTTTATGAAATTTCACTCGAAATCATCAGTGACTGCTGATGAAAACTTCGTTCAACATTATCCAACAATCAGAAGTCTTTCGCTCATACACATTTGGGGGTCTCGGAAAAGATCCACACAAAATGATGAGTCTAAACACCTTGAACTCTAATATCTTATGGTTATTTCATATAATACACATACTTTGACAAATAGACATACTTTTGAAAGCTATGGGTACAAAAGGGAATCTCTAGCTACCCCCTTGTGTTTCTGAGGAACTACATTGTTTGGTGGAAGAATACTGTTTTTATCTATATCATTACACTTTATTTGCTCTGTTTTATTCTGTGAAACCTTACTACGTATATGGAATAACCGTTTTATAAAAGCAATAAGCCCTGTGAAGACAGCTAAGGGGGTTTGCTTCACGTCGTGCCTAACGCCCCTTAGCTGTTATAAATTCACTGTAAACCACAGCTTCTTGGGGCTTAATGCTTTATTTTATTTGAGCATGCCTATGAACATGAAAACAGACTCATCGATTATTAACCACGTTAAACCGGTCACAGTGGTTAACAAGAATTACACCCTTATGAATGATTCCTCTGAATACAAGCTCCGCCAGTAAGGTTTGAAAACCCAAGATTTGAAGACCAAATAATACTTGTACAGTGTTTTGAATGTAAATATGACTACTACGTAAGCCATGGCATTTCAGCATACGCAGGACAAAAAAAAAATTTCTTCCCTTTGGCATGTGAATCTCAAAAAACCTGACAAGAACATGGCCAAGAAATATTTTACCACAAAATTTGCATTGTTACTATTTTCATGACAAAATAGAAAAGGCTAACTTTGTTCTTACAGTAACGACAATATAAATAGAACCACCACTGAGAATGGAGAGAGAGAGAGAGAGTTAGTTATATATTTTTTAATAATACTATATTAACTAAATAATTTATAAATGTTGGGGTGAAATGTGATCTGGATATGTTTTTGTGAGATTCTGAGATTCACCCAGTAAGGTTGTCCATCCCTTCCCTAACCTGTAACAACTATCACATATTTTACATAATTAACATATTAAACATCTGCTTGGGGGAGGGGAAGCATGACAAAAATATCATTAAAACATTACAACATGCAAACTAAAAGTTTCTTGTTCAATGAAGGGCAGAAAATGCAGAAATGAAATCAAGAAAAAGAAATGGCACATATAGTCTCTAGTTATCTCCAATATGTTGGCAAAAAAAATAAAAAATCAAGAAATACCACAATGTAGCAAGGACCGTTTATGAAATTTCACTCGAAATCATCAGTGACTGCTGATGAAAACTTCGTTCAACATTATCCAACAATCAGAAGTCTTTCGCTCATACACATTTGGGGGTCTCGGAAAAGATCCACACAAAATGATGAGTCTAAACACCTTGAACTCTAATATCTTATGGTTATTTCATATAATACACATACTTTGACAAATAGACATACTTTTGAAAGCTATGGGTACAAAAGGGAATCTCTAGCTACCCCCTTGTTCTTAAAAAAGTGCAATCCGACACCCCAGTCCCTTCTTTCCAGCACAACTCTGATTGTGTATAACCTTCAGCTGTGTACCGTCACAACTCCAACCGTCCGTCTGTCCAGCCGAAATCTGCTCCAGTT